CACAGTTGACTAATGGAAGCCCCAGAGCATGGGATTAGTGCAAGAAATACCACTCCAGACTCTGTTTTCCGATGAGAACAACTAGCCATTGGAATAATCTCCCCAGGGAAGTGGTGGATTCCCCAACATTGGACACTTTTAAGATTCGGCTGGACAAGGGTGCTGGGCCCTCTTGTCTAGACCATGCTTTTGCCAAGAAAGGTTGGACCAGATGATCCTTGAGGTCCCTTCGAACCTGGTATTCTATGGTTCTGTGATTCTATGATTCCTTTTGAACCCCACATAGTCTCCAACTTATGGGAAACAATCCTTTTCCTGCTGGAGGATTTATGATGCCACCCCATCTCTGCTCCAGGCAGGGGCTAACCGCTGTGAGCCTCTGTGCTGTTACCAGCCAGGAAAGCACTGGGGAATGGAGAAGTGGGTCTCAAAAGAAGATCTCTTCTCTGGAAAGACCCTCAGCAAGGAGGATTTTTCACTGTGGAGCCTTCATGCCTCTGATGGACATTGATTTACACCTTCGTGCTTCTACTTGCTCTGAGGTATGAGCAGGGAAAAGCACGAATGATAAAAATGTAGGAGCCGCCTCCTCCTCCTCCTCCCCGCAGGAAAATGAAATTCAGCCTCACCTACAAGGGTTCCTCTCCCTCCGCCTTACAGGAGGCACAAAAAAATATCTCACAAGCTTGAAATATTTTGTGAGGGTTACCGAAAGGGTATGTCCAAGAAGCAAGATTTAGTGCAGAGCTTACGCAGGGTCTGCAGTGCTAAGCACCCCAAGGGCTGAGCGCCGGGGCTGCGGGGCTGAGCGCCGGGGCTGCAGGGCTGACTCTGTACCAAAGGGCGCTCGCTTGAGCGCCAGCCCCGCAGACCATGGGGAGAAGGTATGTGACTCCAAATGCAGCTGGTGATGGAAGTAAAAACTGGTAAATGACGGGGAACCCAAAGTGGTTTGCAGGGCTGGAGTTGTTGAAGTGACACCGTAGAAGTGCGGGGTGAGACCGGGGAAAGACTCGTCGGGTCTCCTTCAAGCTCTCCCTTGAGTCAGGGATGCAAAGAGAAACACGGGCAGTTGGTGTAACTGCACTAAGCGGCAACTCTCCTCGCCCCCACTGCGGTACTGTTAAAAAAAATTATAATTCGTTTTGACAGCTGCCAAATTAGCAGCATATTATGCAGCGTATTCAATTAGACAAGCTCCCGAGGGAGCAGGCAGAGGTAGCAGGGCAGCCAGCCGCTGCTGGGACATGACATGGTGCTTCAGGAAGGTATTTTTAGAAATGGACGTGCGTGCTCTGCAGAGAAATAAACAGCCCTTTGGTCAATACTGGCAACCATTCCCCATCTGTTTCCAGAACATGCTTAAAAAAATAAAATAAAAAGGTGTAGCTGCTGGATTCGCAGTGGTCTCACCAGCAAGTCAAGACTCTACCAGTGGTTTCTAGCTTCTAGGGTTTCTAGGGCCCATAAAAGTGGGTTTAGTGGAGGAGGGAGACAGGGAAATGAAGGTCAGAATACCAAACCAAACCATTTTGCACCCATTTTTTTAAAATACAGCTACTAATTTGGGGAGCGGGTGCTGGAGAATCCGCACCGCCACGTGTCTCCTGCTCTCGTCTTCTACCAAGCCTGCAGCAGGTTGCCCTGGCTGCCTATGCATTCTCTGATTGTCCGTGGAGCATCTTGGCCTCCAGCACTCAATACACTCAGCAGATTTCCAGAAGCAGCTATTTACGGACCTATTCTGCAGCCCCTGGAAGTCTTCGCTGAGCTGTGCATCAAACTTTTAGCTAGCAAACTTCATATCCTCTCCTTCAGGTACAGGTCTGTATTAAAACACCATCCCCTTATCTCTTACAAACCTGTCATTCCTTAATTCAGCAGCTCCTTGTCCTACAGCAGCTGTGCTGTAACTCCTACCACCTTGCTACTGTCCTGAGGGAGGAATCAGGACAAAACAGCTGCCCTTGACTTCCCGCAACACTTTTGCATAAGCACAATCTCCTCTGCTTCACCTCAAAGACCCAACATCCAAGCAGAGATGCAGGACTCCTGGGTTTTGACCCAATTCCTGTAAAAAAATTCATAACACGAATCAGTGGAATTTCTCTCTGCCTTGATTTACTGATGTGTAACACAGGGCTACGACACAGCACGTGTAATAAGCGCGCGGCTACATCCTCCGGCTGGTAAAGCCATTTGCATTCACAAGACAGCAACCGCAGTTACTGATTTTATTGAATGTTGAATGTTTAATTTAAAAAAGGGAAATTAAACAGCTTGTTATACTCCCCTCTGTAAAATTCAAGACTCAGAGACTTGTTTGACTGTGACTAACTTAAAGTGTTACTCTGCTGTAATCCAAACACGCTTCCTGCCAATAAAAACAGAGTTCCCTGAAACAGCCCCGCTTTTATCTGCCAGTCTATAAATATATAGGCACCAAGTTACAAGTTCTGTACTTTCAGCCAAAAATAAATGCTCTAAACTAAAAACGACGAAGTGCAAAGCTTCACAATCTGCTAAATGAAATGTAAATATTACATACCGGCAATCCAACGGCACTTCTGCCTTCAAACTTGGCCAGACGTTCCACACTTCAGGGTGCAGTAGACAAAGGGCAGGTCAGCACAATGCAGTTGTTTTCGGGAACCTCGTAAACTGGGTTAGCAATTCAATCTGTGGTCTGCTGGGGAGCGAGAAGAGAGCAAGTGAGAGTGTATGGCAGTAAAAGCTTAGGAAGGGAAGGCAAGAAACTGAATATTTTGCCAAACTGACTTCAGCAAATTCAGCTTCTCCCTGGTATTTTTAAAATCCCACGTCCTACTTCCATGCAAGGTCCTTATCCCCTGGACCGCGTGTGTAACTCCACTGAACGTGCCGCATTTGGGAGTATTTGAAAGCTCAGGGCCCAAGAACTGATTGCAAAATAGGAGATTCTCTTCAAACATTATTGTGTGATACAAATGCAAGTAAGCTAACCAATACCCTGATCACAGACAAACAAATGATTTCTTTTCACAACTGGGAAATAAGAGTAACGTATTTGTACTCCACCTGTATGCTCAGCTCTATATAATCAAAATAGAGATGCAATTCCTGCACTGGAGAGCTTAACATTTAATACTGTTCCTGTAAATATGAGTAGTTTGAATCGCTGTGCTCACTCGCTTAAGATGTACAAGGCTTTTGCAGGACTGCACACTTCAAGCGGAGGAAATTCAGCACAATTCAGGGATAACTTGTCATGTTTTGTTCCGTTTTACACAGAAGGGAGTAACCATTCCAAGGGACGAGTGGAGAGCTGGGGCTGAATGTGGAAGTGTTCTTGGCTTGGAGAATGGAAGCAAAAGGAAAGAGACTCTGACGTGACTAGGGTATCACCCAACACCCCCTGCCCTTATTTTCCAGACATGTGTATGTACCCAGACTGCAACGCAGAGCAGTCTAGGAACATGGGTTTCTGCACTAGTATCCAGGAGAAAACTGATTTATCTGCACTGACTGTACTACCTTCCTAATTTAAACGAGGAGGTGTGATCACCCCTGGCCCTGCTGTGTATGAACCACGAGGTACCTTGTACGTATTTATTAACCACGACACTGGCAAAACCGCTGTCACCTGTAAAACAGCAAAACCTGATACACTCATCAGCATCCATGTCAATCAACTGTGCAGCCAGCTGTAACAGCCAGGCCAACTTCTGCAAAGGTGTTTATAGAGGCAGAGCGGCTGTGAAGAACCGTGTGGGATTTGCTGAAGAAACTGTGGAGGTTAGGTAGTTATCCAGTGGCATTAGATACCCACCTCGCTGAAACGCCTTGGCAAAAAACCCACTAAGGTCGAAACTGCAGCTTCGGCTGCCTGAACTCCTTCTGAACCCAGGCCACGGAGCAGCCTTGTTTTTTGTTCTGCCAAAATCAATGATAAAAAACTGGTGCCTCAGAAGAGCTGTTGTTCTTCAGCTTGCGGGTACAGCCAGCTGCTATATGGAAAGGAAACTACTTAATAAAAAGCCGAGTTGTTTTACAGACTTCACTGGAATTTAAGGTCAGGCTATCTGAATCTATCCATTACTTACCGTGAGCTGTGTTGCTTCGTTCAGTTCATCCTATTTAAACAACAAAAACCCTTTGCCACATCATGAACATGCATGGTGAGGTGAAACAGAGTTCTTCCATGGACATGACTCCATACTGTGGCAACCAGTGATATCTTCTGTGCATGCAAAGACCTCTGAGGACCCATGCTGTAATATGAATAGCAAACGCCCCTCCTCGGGGGAAGCTGCTCGGGGAAAGGGGCCCCACTATCTGTTCTATAAGTAGATGGTAATGACAAACATTAACTCAAGAGTTTTATTTACTTGTCAGACCTCTGCTCCACATACAGAAAAACAAATCTTCACATACCACTTACAGCTTCAGCTAGTTCTCAATAATTCTAACAATTTTTTCTGATGACTCCTTACTAGGTTGTTTAAATACACTTGGAAATCAAAGAATTATGCCTCATCCCTTCAAAAAAACACATTTTATTAAAAAAAGACTTGAAACTAGTTTTCACTCCCAACTTAACTCTGAACATTTCACAAAATCCCTCTTCAAAATAATTCACTAGTACTACAATATAGACAATATTATCAGAGGCCCTGATGCTTCCACACCTCAATTAAATCTATAATATAGGAGAGGGAGGAAAGAGAGAAATTAATGGAAGATATGGTCATGTGGCTGTTAGGAACAAATCTACACCATTTCCCAGCTGTGAGTGCCTGGGGAAATAATTTCTAGCTTTGGGAAATACAGAAATTACTTTTTAATAAAGTTATAAATAAATAACCTTTTTTGGGAGAGTTAATCAGAAATGGATTTAGAAATAATATTTGATAGACTTTGCTTTGTTGAAGAGAAATGTATCAAAACCAGTATTCCTGTTAAGTCAGAAAGATTCGGTGTAGAATTAAGATTCAAGACGAGGACTTTGCTAGCAGTGGCCATCAAGGATTGGTCCTCTTCCGCCCAGACGGGATTGGAGGTAGGACAGGTTTGGAGTGGGAGCCTGGCCAGTTGATGAGCTGAGGCACATGAGAAGAACCAGTCTTGGACTTGCTGGTTTTGCTCTGAAGATTGTCACTAGGGAGTTCAGTCTCTGCAGAAATTATAAATAGGTGAAGAAGCACTAAGAGGGTGTTTATTTCAATGAAAAGTCAAAATTTACCACAAAGCATATCTACAGCTGAAAACCCAGTGTTTTGGGGGGTGGGTGGGGGAAGACCAATATCTTCAGGTAGTCTAGTGACTCCTCTACCTCATACATGTGGAAGAGTAACTTTATGCCTAAGCAGAGCAGTCACTGTTTTTAATTCCTCCAAAAGTTCATTGAGAGAAAGCTGCTGTATTGAGTATGTTGCTGTGATGATTCACACTGTGAATGATTCTTCCACGTCGTAACATTGCTGCTTATAAGAGTGTCATTATCAGAAGCATGAAGAAGCTGCCCTGTCACCCAAATAAATCTACTATCATTACAGTAAGAAAGATACACAGCCTGAGCAAAACTGTTACTTTGGAATATGGTTCAAACCTTTCAGTCTGTCCACTCCATTTTTAGTTCCTCTTGGATCTTCATGTTCACCTTTGGCTTCTTCAGTGAGACGAGCATGGGGAACAGGGGTCCGAACCAACAGACCTTCACCAGCAGGTGCACCAGGTGAGTTTAGAAATAGTCTGCTAGCAGGACCAGATTCTCTGCAGCTGAGAGGGGGAAATGATTTGTGCTTTAAAATAGCAATAAAAAAAGCATATGCACCAGGTCTGACAGTATTACTGATATTGCAGTCACACAACTCAATCAAAAGTCAGAAGTAAATCCCGGTACTTGTCAGTTACACAAAAGTTTTCACACATTACAATTCTCTCAAAACTTCTAGTGCTAGCAAACACAACTACTACGTCTCTCAATTTTCATTTATTGGTTTAATTAATTGCACAGACAGGTACAATAAAAAGGTTCATGCCACACAGTGAATCAGCTTCAGATCTGGGATCAGAAATCAGAGCTCCTTGTTTCCAAACCTGTGGTTCAGCACTGCAGACCATGTTCTCTCTTGGTGAGTAAAAGAAAATAGGAATTGCCTTGAAAAGGAGTGTTTCTGTAGTATCCCAGTGACAACACAGACCATGAGTAGCCATTTACCAGTGAGTAGTACCCAAGGCACCTCTGACCTGTTATGTCTCTTGCAGAAAATCTAGTCAGAGCCAAAGCCTGAGTGGTCTGAGACCCTGACAATGATAATGACCATGTTGTAGCTTGTTCTGATAAAGGCTTTCCATTTCCATCTATATACTGTCAATTTACTTCAAGAAAAGTAAGTAAAAGACCTTGATTGATACGGAGAGATCAATAACTACCTATTTAATGCAAAACCGTAATATATATTTGGACCGATGCTTAAGATATTTCATAATGTCTCTCTTCATACAAAAAGGACTGTTCTGGTCTAGGTGAGAGAAACCGATTCATAGATTTATGAATCTGGGAGGAAGTTCAAAGATTATCCACCCTGACCTTATCCATGGTGCAGGTCAAAAGAATTTAATCCTGTAATTCTTGCAAGGAGCATTTTTAGCTTATGAGAATACTGTGATTACAGTGTTCTGGGGAATAGAAAGAAAGTATTTCAGTGGTATTTTAATAAATCCATACAATAAGAAGAAGGGATCATGAATAATGAGATAAAACAGTGTGGTACTCCCATAAGAAACAGGTAATTATCTTCTCACTAGATGTACTGTGGAAGCCTATGAGAATTTTGCCATTGTCTTCAAGGTAAAGGAATATTATATCCTGTAATGTATACTGAGTGCTTGCATCTTCCTCTAAGGTCCACTGCATCCAAGGATGCTCATCAAATGATGTATGCTGTATGCTCTAGCCAAGTGCTTAACCCTAGTCGTAATCTCATTTTAGCTGCCTGTAATATGCATCAGACGTAACTGTGGTAGGGATAAGAAATTACTAGGAGTAGTAAATCCAGGCTCAGTATAAACAGCAGCTTGGACTCTTCAACAACTTCTCTTCCCATTTCTAAAAGGCTGACTACTTCTGCTTTTGCTTCAGAGAACATCATAGTCACACATTCACCTACAAATGAAGGCTAAAAATAGACATCACATAGTTAGAATTAACCCCTTGTGGATCTCTAGCCACAACTACATGAATGTGCTATGTTAAAATCCAGCATACTAAGGTGTTCAACAAAAACCTTCATTGCCTTTCTCCCCAGCTGTCCCTTTCTTAGAGGGCAGAAGACAAGGTAAACTGTGGGAAATAATTTACATACCACTTGGCAGGGTGTAAAGGGAAGGCACGTATCCAGGCTTTTCTAGTACAAGTGTCATAGGAAACATTTAATTTAATTAAGGTTTCTTGTAAAACTACTCAATGAGAATAATATAAAAAATAAGTGGGAAAACTAGAGCTTATGAGGTCTCTGCCATCTAGATGTCCAAGATATTTGGGAGGGGTGGGACAGAGGAGATGAGAACCTACCTCTCCTTTGTGCTTTTGCCAGGTGACCTGTAAATGAGTTTGGATAACCTATCTTTAGTCCTTCCCTGACAGCCTCAGCACAGAAAAGAGAACTATTGTAGGTGGAGCAGGCATGTCTTCCCTCTAGTAAAATTTCTGTCAGCTAAATGGAAAAGAAATGAAAAATAGGAAGCTTAAAAAAACCCAGTATTACGCCATGGAGTAATGAGATAAATGGATTCTGTGTGCACTAAATACAAAATATGTTAGTAATGAGTTGAGGAGTAAAGCACTGGACTGCTATAGATTCTGTTTAGATTATGGTTGCACTGGACTGCCAAACCCTAACATATATCATTGCATGTGATGTCATAATATTTGAATTGATGGATATTTTTCATTTGACTGTGTTTGGCAGGAATGGGGACGTGCAAATAATGAGGGTATAGTAACAGATTAAGAAATTAAGCTTCTACTCTCCAACTCACTATATTTTGCCCCTCCTCTCTTCTCCTCTCCTTGTTAAGCTGTAACCAGATCATTTCAATATCCTTACAAACACTTCTACTGGTAAAAGTGAGTAATGAAATACAGTGGACAGGGACCTAAAGAATTTATTATTGCCTGTGGTGAGCAGCAGTCCTTTAAAGTACAGTTGTAAGATATATTGCCCTAAAGTACTGCTACTCACCAAAGGCAATGATAAATTGTTTAAGCCTATGAGTGAGAACAAATGGAACCTCAGGCAAAAAAAATCCACACTTTCTTGTGTGGGAGAGTTCAGCCTCCAGCAGAGGACTTCAAAAATCCCTGGAAACTGGCATGGTATTTTCTTTTGTGAAATCAGGAAAGACTAGGTCATCATAGTTTACTTCCAAGGAGAAGACCATAGCTATGGTCTTAGCAATGAAAAGAAGCCATGGATGTAATTAGAAACTGTCCTGAAAAAGGCAGATGTCCAAACAAAACCTTTAATTTTCACTCTTGAGTAAATGCCATCAGGATCACCTATTTTACTGGTTGACACAAGGTAACAGAACAACTGCAGAACTTGAATCCAACAAGTGTTAGTGACCTGAAGAATAATGATGCCGTTTCCACCACAGCTCAAGCTTAAATAAAAACTGCCAGATTTGAGAAATAATGCAAAAAATTTGGGACCTGGACACAGTGTTGCCCAGTGAGGTATCAGACTAATCTGCAGTCCCTGATCTTGGAAAACAATATTTCTTTCATTGGTTGTGCCTGGAAGTCAATACATTCATGCTCTTACCCTTTGACAGCTTTTTTTAGTTTACTCTTTCTTCCATTCCAAACATTGAATGCATAAAATTGGAGAGAAAGAAAAAGAAAATATTAAACCATCTCAATATTCAAACAAAATCACTACAGACTTTACTACAATACTTCAGAAACGTGGGATTTTTCTCACTAATATTTCAAATGCATCTACACAACAGCATTTCCATCAATCACGCCTGTAAGCAAATTTCTTCCACGCTTTCCATACTTCCCTTGCAAAAGGATTTGACAACATGACTCTATACAATTTTGCTGTAGGCCGTGATGCATGCACAGAAAATGAATCAGATTAGCAGTTTGCTTTTTCTCTCCTCACAGTTGTTTCTCCACTGTGTTATTAACAGTGCTAAATGAAAACACTGCTGAAGTCAAAACACCAAAATGTGGTGGAGTGGAAAGACATATTTATTCCCATATGCGAAGGGTAAGACCTTTACAACTCATCATAGCTTCACACTCATTTGAGTTATAGGTCTTGCCTCTTACTGGTAAGGACAGATGATGCATAATCCCTCTGCAACCTATTACGCACTCAGTTTCTCTCATACACTCGCTCTGTTCCCCTTCAGCACACTCCACTGTGGCACAAATACTCGGGACAAATGAATCTGCAGAGACCTTCGGTTTCAACCTTTTTACAGCATGCTAATTAACTACTTGTAATTACAGTGGCAGGTAGTACATCACATAGAGGGAACTGGCAGTCTCTCTAGGATATAAAAGGAACATTTTTTTCAACAGCAAGTTTAGCTAAGAATTCTGCTTAACAGATGAGGAATAAAGTAAATGCGTTGAAATCTTATAAAGATGCTCAGCATTTCTCATCAGTCTGACTTAATGTGAAAAGCTGCCTAATGTGTATTCAGGAGGTTATTAAACAGTGATTTTTAGAAGATGTGAAAACACATAGGTGAAAAATACTTGGTATGGTATGTTTAAATACAGCAGGAAAGGTACCTTGGTTTGTATGGAATGAGAACAAGATATCAGACATGGGATTGAACCCATGATCAAATTCAAGTTTACCAACAGCCATATGGCATAGACATCAGCTCACTCTAAGTTGCAGCTTTCAGATGAGCTTTGTGGTAGGTTCTGAAGAGTGAGAAGAGCACGGCTACAAGCACACACCTATTTCCTAGTGTGGATGGGGGATCTGGCGTGTTATGCTTCACTAGGTCATGCTGTGTGGCATCCGGCTGCTTCTGTGTATCCCATCTGGGCATGAGATTACAACAGATGGCCAGAAGAGGGGGAAAAAAAAAGCTTATGCAGGATACTGCATAGAAAGGCCGCAATGTCACTTGCCACAACAGCAGACAGGCTTGTTGGCAGCCAGAGCTCAGATGTACTTATGAAACAAGACCATTAGAGTAAGTCACAGCCATCTTGTAAGAGGACCCGCAGAGCAAGTCAGGAAAATATAGCCCGCTTCTAGCTAAAGGTCTAAAAGACACTGAAGATGTAGCCTCTTCAAATCTCCTTCTATCCTCACCTCCCTACAAGCTTTAAATGAGATAGGAGTTGTCTCCCTCCCATACCTCAGAGCCTGTTTACCTGTGGTACAAATAAATGAGGATGTTCATCACTCATGAGCAGAGATCCTGGACAAGACATGAAGCATAGCAGCAACGGCTGATATAGTAAGAGAAAGTAAAGGTACTACAGAGCTCAGTATCCTGATGGGGTCTGCTGTTATCATGGATGAGATATGAATTTGAAGATCATGATATCACCCAAAGCTTCCCAAATGGTATTCAACAGTAACTATGGTAATCCTCTAAAGAGAAAATGAGAAATAATTCTGATAGCAATATCTGGTAAATTTGTTTAAAAGACATATTTATCACTCAAGTTCTGTTTTTCTATACCTGGACCAAGTTTCTTTCAGCATTTTTTTCCCTTCAAACATCCTCTTAATAGAAAGCTCTTGAAATTCCCTTTCTGTGTATGTAAATTATGGTGTCTAAATGAAACCATTCCCATGAATGAACGGACTTTGTTTTATGCTGCAGCGACACATGCTTAATAAGGCTGTTGATGTAACAGATGAGACAACTGCATTACCTTGGGAAATGGTTTTAGATCTTGCACATTGCAGCATTAACCTTCATTCCACCCAGCGATGATCTGCTGTCTCAGAAACTGAACTCACCGGCTCTCTGGGTTTGTCAGGGGGAAGCTCTGGTCTTGGGTGACATTCCTTCCATCTGAGAGCAGAGGAGCATGTATTGTTGGTTCCAGTAATTGTTGACGGGAGCTGCTTGGTGCAGGAGTGACTGCCAGGTCCCTAAAATGATACAAAAGGAAAATAAAGTGCTTGTTACATGCATATACTGTGATAGCATAATTAGCACTTAGTGAGTTCACAAGACCTGTTCAGATGGAGGGGAGTGTTATCTCCAGTGGGAGAGAAGCAGCAATAAGCAGTTGGGGGTAGTAATCCAGGCTCTGTTTATAGCCAGCAGAGAGGGAACAGTCACAGCTACAGTATGAATAAACTCAAGCTTAAGCAGATATCTAAAGAAGGTTGGATGAATCACTCTCCACTGAGAGCAATGTAAGGCAACTTGTTCAGATAGAGACATTTTTATTAAAGACACCCAAAATCGGGTGAGATTAATCCCACCCCTTGTGGGATTCTCACAAGGTGAGAACTTTCATCTTCACTGCCATGCATAACACCTAAAAAAAAGCATTCCAGGTAATGCAGTATTGACACCACTTTATTTATAGACTTGAACCACACAGCTAAAACCAAAGAGATGCAGCACTGAAGACTGCTAAACATGAACTTAAAATTCTACCTCTTGGAAGATTCCATACATCTACCCCCAGTACCAGAGCCATCCCAACTGAACCTCAACTGAACTCCAAAGGAATCTTTTTATTTTTAAGGGCAATGAGCCTACGTAACTTTTGTGTGTGCCATTTTCTAGTTACCCTAGGAAGCTTGTCAAGAACATTTTTAACTGCAGTAGCAACTGCTGAATGCTTGCTCCATGGGAGAAGCTAGGTTTTTAAGGAGGGTTAATACCTTTTCTGAAGACTCATTGCTACAGTTTGGAAAAAAAACCCCAAACCGTTAAGTTCTTCATCAAGCCCTCAAGCGCGCCCATAGGCCATTAAGGCAACAATATACCACTGCCACTTTCCCACAGGAAACAGAGAGGTTGAAATCTCAAACTGTCTTTTCACGCCTCCTCATTTCGCCAAAGCAGGACTGTTCCCCGCTGTGGGTCTTCTGGTGCTTCAGTGATGAGGCTTTCCCCACTCTTCAGAAATCAGTCCCTAGCCCAATACACTGTGCATTACAAGCAAGGTCTTTCTACTCTTCATCTTTAAATTTCCCTTTCTTTAGTTTCTTCTTATTATTAATACCTATAAATAAAGCTTCCCTAGTGTAAGGCCTCAAGCGGTTATTGTTTCACTGTCAAGCAACTGCTGGCTGGTAATGGTGTTTGTTCATTATCGGCTCAGATCAAAATCCAAACCAATTACATAGGAGAAAGGGCCTGATTCCATTAATGGCCCCCAGAGCTGAGTGCTCTCAGAAATCATTTCTTGTAAATCCACATCATGGAAATAAAAAAAACACAAAGAAAAGAAAAGAAAATCTCTCAGCAAAGAACTCTGTTCAATATACAGCACAGAAATACACAGCCTGACAATGGAGCTTATAGGAGTCAAAGCAGAAATCTGAAGACAGGATTCAAGGCCACGCCTCTAAGGACTGGGTCACCACAGGAAAATGAACTCTGCTTCCTGGAACAAAGGTTTGGATTCAGAACCCGCAACCCACTCTCAGAAGCTACATCTCAGTTGGTAAATAAACTTAAAACAACACGCCTGACAGCTAAGAAAAATACGCATATTTAAAGGTGTTATAGGGATGTTTTTTCACCTTCTACCTCTGCACTAAATGTCTTCTTTACATTGCCTCTCAAGTTTTGTACTGTCATTATGGGTGTTTAGGCTCAGAGTGTAATTCAAATCACACCAGGATGCCTCAGCTCAAAAAAAAAAAGGAAAAAAAAAAAAAAAAAGGAAAACAGGCTGGAGAAGTTAAATAGCACCCTGTGAAAAGGCATATCCATGTAGTTCAGAACAATGTCCTAGTTTTGTTGTTAAGAGGGGCATAGAAATAAAAGTGAAAAGCAAAATTACATTGACATCAGAGGTTGACTAGACAAGAGGGTCTGCAAGAAATATATGCAATCACACGCATGCAAACCTTATGCTCACACCAAGCAAATCCAATCTGAAGAGAGGGGCTCAACCACACGTAGACCATGGACCTTCTCTCTTCCCAGTTCTGGCAAGGAGCTCCAGTGAAACGGTAAAGTGTATGAATTTCTTCCAACTCAGAAAAGCAAGATTGCATGTTATAAATTCTCCTCTTGGTGATGCCTGCTCTTGCTTACCCTAGTCCTTTCAGCAACATTTAGACAAAATCAAGAAGTTAATCATTAGCTAAAGGCCTGATCTGAATGAGACTTCAACCCAACCCCTTATTTATTGCCCTCAAACACACAGACAACTACTGAAATTATTCAGAGCAAACCACTGAACGTTGCCCATACATTATATTAGGCAATGAGACATCAAAATGACTTTAATTACACCTGCACACAGCCACAGGCAAAAAATAAAGAGGCCAGGTTTTCAGTAATTTGGATTTAAGAATCTAAATTTATGTAGATAACCCTGCAGGGTTGCAATAAATAAAATAGGCTAGATTCTTGTGTGACTCCACTTTTAAAATTTTCTAACATACTCAGGAAAATTGAGCAATATATTTCAGTTTGGATTAAAATGTGTAACGATGAGACTAAGCATTAAAGAATCTTTTAATATTTACAAATACACAAGAAATTCAAAACATCTAGTACCTTAGGAACCTTTCTGCATATATAATTTTTGGCATCAGTTTCATATATTTCATAGAATATAGATTCACTCCTAACTGAAGTAGGGTTCTCATTCTCTGCAGCAGCGCTGCTCAAAAGCAAGCTGAGCTGCCTCTGCCCTCTACCATTTCTGGTCCACAGCCACCCATTTACACTCCCAGCCCTCTCTCAGCATGATGCCAGCACAAGTGGTTCTTCAGAGAGTAAGGGAAATTGATCTGGCTGAAAAAACAACCTTTTTGTTTGGCAAAACCTGATCTGTACCTTTATCCATTTCATCACTAAGCTGTATGACATTGGAGCCAGTGGCAGCACAGAGTAGGCAGTGAAAGAAAAGGAAGAGGTAGGTGTGTAAGAGCCAGTACTGCCACTGAAGAAATACTAAAGTTACTGAATTCTTCCTCATTGCATGATAAAAAATGTCTGGACACAAAAAAGTTTACTTTGCACCAATAGCCCTTTTCAATCACAGAAATCAGGATACAAATCCTCAAATAAAACACCGCTTCAATGGAGCTACTCATATAGGTTATATAATTAAAATCTAGTCCAATACCTAAAAAAAACCTTCAATTCAAGCAAGACATTGTAGAAACTTCTAGCTAATCATACTAGTATTTCTATGTGCTAAAAGTATACATAATCAATTACCTGCTTATTTCACGAATTTGTTCTTTTTAAATTATAATCACCTACTTTTTAAAGTACTTGTCTTATTTTACTTCAGGTTACCTGCAATGCTCTCAGAATAAAGTTTCATTCTATACCAACACCATCCAGCATGGCAAGCATGGACCTTACTCTTGTATTTCCCAATACAATTTGAAATTAATCCACTTTAATGAACTTCCTTTTCTCTACCTGCCTCACTTTGCTCCAAGATGTCATCTCCACAGGGGTAGAACAGACAGAACAAAATGCATGCTTGCTTCTCGCAGTCACAAGTCCATACCTTCAGTCAATTCAAACTCCACTGGAAAGTCAGGGTAAAAATGAGGCTTTACATTGGAGTAACTGAAGCAGGGGTGAATATTCTTTTCTCTTCGCCCCTCTAGAGGAGCAGTATTCCCCAGCGAGGAGTGCTATGGTAGCTTACTACATCAAGATTCATCAGCTGAAACCCTGTATAAGGCCAGATGTGTTACCAGTGAAAGAAATCATATTTTCACATAAACAGCAGACTGATTAAGTGGACAAAGTACAATGAAAATAAAGAAAAGGTGTATCATGTTCCAAACAAAAATTCATCAGAACAAAGCAGATAAGATTAAAGCAAGAATAGACAGCAAGAGTTTTTTAAAACTGGATTTTAAACAGGCATGACCTATCCTATTTATGTAGCCAAATAAAAAGAGAAATAAAAATCTCCAAATAAAATACAGCTTGAAAGAAAATAACTTAAAACATGGACATTCCATAGGAGAGAGAAATCTGGGAAGCACTAAAGCTGAGATGGATCTAGACATAACAATGAGATGAGATGTCAAACCTGAATATCTAATGCAATAATGGCTGCATGAAAAGATCAGTGTAATTTTTGAGCAACATATGCAGAGACAATGAAGTATGGTGCCTCAGATGCAGGCTATAGTGTTGTCTTTGCCAACACTTGTTGTAGGGACACTTGAAATACTCCGGACTGATCAATTTTTAGAGTTAATTAACAAATTAGAGAGACTTTATAGTAACCCTACTGAATTTACTAAGCATAGACTTACAGAGACAGATGAAAAGACATTACAATATATATAGTTTAAGTAAGAACAATGGAAAGGTATAAAACAAGATAACAGTCTAACTACCCCAAAATTATTTGGATGCTGCTGCTAATATTACTATGAATAATGACATAATGAATTACCTTGCATCATCTCAGTCGCACAGTCTGTGTACAAATTCCTTGCTTAGCCCTTGACAAAAGCTAAAGAAAGCCACATCACCTTACATTTCCTATAGGCTAACAGTGTGCGCAAAGACAGTTACCACAGCTAAGATGACATGCAACAATCTTTTAAGCTACTCATGACCCAGGTCCATAGTTATATATTGAAAGAAAGATCCATCAAACCGTAGGTGAGCTTTTCCAAGGTGAAAGCCCCTCTCTTATGGGTATTTAAAACTTTCTTCAATTCTGTGTAAACAAACATGCTCAATAGAACAACCACACGCTTGCTGCTGGACTGGACTACATGACCTACCAGGTTCTCCGCTATCTAATTGCTACATTCCAGGATTCAGATTCTTTCTCAGAATTTCAATGGCATTCATATTTATGGCACCTCTTGACTTAACCTCTTGCATGGAATGGGGAGTTGTCTACTCTTGCCTCCAATTCTGCTGAGCGCATCTATCCCTTGAGGCCTGGTAATTGCAAATGCTGATTGGGGGTGACAGGATTTTCTCTCACCTGCCTGACAGCTCTGCCAAAGCAGTCTGATACTTAACTCCAAAATCAGCTTCCAGCGAATGAGTATTGTGGAATAAAGGGAGCAAAGAGCAACAAACTAAGGCAGATTAAGATGAACAGTTCACACTGCAACACTAAATCAAACTCAAAACATCTAGCAAAAGAAAACACTGATTTCCATTTTTCTTCTTATTTCAACATAATTTAAAATGAATGAATCAGCTACTTAAAAAAACTTTTCTCTAAGTAAAGATTTGGAAAATGCATCGTGATTTTGCATCTCTGCCTGTAAGCTTCTGCCATTGGTTTTCTAGAGACAGTTTAATTCAGTAGGGTTTTATTTTTCCTTCTTTCCTTCTTTTTTTTTTTAAATAATCAATCTCCAGACTTTGTCATTGGAATGATTTTCATCAACACATCTGGTATGTACAATTGGTGACTGCTTTTGTACAGGCCTGAAATGAGCTGAAAGGTGTGAACTTTTCTATTCGTTCTGATGATTGCTGATTTAGAGGCCTATGTGATACTTTAAATGTCAACACTGTGAGGCTTTTCATGGCAGGTAGGAAAAGCAAGCAAACAAGAATTCAGATTAGGAAGATTTACACCAGGGGAAGGCAGGAGTGCCACAAAAGATCAATCAAAGAAGGTACATTGAGATTTACAGACTTCTAACATCATTTTTGCAGGGCTGTGACTATGAGGAAAAAGGAAGAGAGACAGTCAAGACAGGATCCATTTTTGGGGGAAAAAAAAAAAAAATTAGGAAGTGGAGTCAGCTTTCAGAAATTGTGCTTTAAACAGAGAGATCCACAGAAGATGTACTGCAGCAAACAACCTCGCGCTGAGCACGGCTGTGACTTTCCAACGCTAATTACTAGTAGTGCTCAAAAACAAGCCAGAGACTGTAAACTGCCAGAAAAATTATCCTTTTCTGCTCTCTCTCAGAGAGGAAGCAATAATAATTCCATAGTTTTAGACAAGTTACTTGTGGATGGCTCTGCCTCATACATTTTCGGTATACATTTTGGGAATGCTGCACTCCCAAGTCAAAAGACAGGCAGTCTGTGATATATTTGTAGGGCTAGATTTAAAAGTGATAGAAAGGAGAGTTGTCTATGAGATTTGCAATCCCTGACAGTTTCTAATAATTCATTCTTAAGAGCAGTGAAGAAGAAATCTTAAACAGGCATTTTTCACTTTATTGCAAAGGACTTGGCTGAAACCACTCTACATTACCTTTGAAACAGCTGGACATATGCACTAGGCGCCTTCCCTGACAGAGCCTGACGTGCTGCAGAACAACGCCTTTGGAGAGACGCTTCTTCCTGATAAAGAAATATGACCAACTTTATACAGCAACTTAAAAGTATATATGGTAACTTAATTGGCTGTGATATTCTTCTCTTTTGTAAGACTCTAGAGTGTATGTGTTTATATATTCTGGGAAAATAGCAGACCTATATTATAACTAACAAGGTGCTAAATATGAGTCACTGATCTACACAAACCAAATTTTGTTCTGAGATCTTGCTAGCTTTGAAAAATGAAGATCTTCATCTCCAGTGAAGCTCCATTTCTTCATAGTAGTGAAAATGTGCCAGGATGTAGCAGGAAGGAATATCTGCAGAGAACCACTTTTAAAGCATCCCAACCTCCCAGTATGCTAGAGCAGGGATAATTCTAGCTACGCTGTTGTCTTTAGCTTCTTTTCACCAGCAAGGGGCTGAATACAGAACAATTTGCCTCCGCTACTCCTTAAATGCACTGTCTCCTTGCTCCAGCAGTGCAGAAAACCTGCCTTACCAACTTTATATCAAACAATATTCCCCCCTCAAAGAAGGAATTACCTTTTGCAAATTTCAGTTAGTTAAAGTGACTTTATACAATGAACACATTATGATCTCAGCAGACTGGAAAATGTGGTCCCGAGTTTTAAGGGTGTGTTAATTAACATGTGCTGTAGGACAATGTAATTTGCCAGGTCAGACAAACGAAACATTACAGTGTGCTTAAAAAAAAAAAATGTAAATCACAGAGCAAAGTTATTAAATCCTGAATTGTTATCAGCTGATAGCCATTGATAGTTATCAATTTAATAGCTAAATCACATCATGAACAATGCAACGAAAGAGAATACAGTTAATCTGCTGAATGCTCACATTATGACTATTGTGAATTCCTTCACTTTCCTTCACTATTTATGCTAAGTAAGGCTCTGCTTAGATGCTCACTGAGCTTGTGTTTTGTTTTGCCTTCTTTTGGTAAGGATATAATTCTGACCCTTTTTTCTGTGTGGATTACAGGTATAGATACCTTTCTCTTCATACCTTCTATAGTTAATTACAGCCATACAAAATTAGTGCAGGGTTGGCATGCTCACAAGGGATAAGGCTGCAAGGAATCAGATCTACTGTCTTTCCCTGAGCAGCAGATCCTGCTTCTTATTTTGCTTGTGGATAATTCACATTGATTTCTTCACTTTTTTTTTATTTTCCAGTTCCACATGATGGGAGTGGGACGTGGTTACTGCAGTGACAGCACGTTATTTGGGTGCCAAAAGCACAAAAATCATTTGCAGTCCCAAATGTAACATTTTAGACAAAATTTTACTTTAAGGCCACAGACATATTTATATTCTTCTCATTAAATATGGTCTAAGAGGCACCTGTGTTTCACCTTGAATGTTTTACTATGTTGAGACTTCAGCTGATGCTGTGAAGCTTCCTCTGCATGTAAAAATATATTGGAAAGTTAGTGTAGTAAATAACAAAAAGGTATTACTAGCACTGAACAAGGAGACTAATAAGAAAGAGAGCCTTATGGCCACTAAGTAAGTTAAACCCAAGGTAAATGATAGACTCCTTCATCATAAACCACTTCTCCCTGACTTGACAAAATGTAAACTTTCAAAATAAAAATAAAAAAGATTAAATAAAAAAGATTAAATAAAAAGTGAGAAAAATAAATTGCTGGGGTAGGATTGATGGCAGAGTGCCACTAAGGTAAGAAATAGTCTGGCTTCTCTCTCACATTAAACTAACAAACCTTCGGATGAAAGGAACATGAAAATAAACAACACTTGTGACTTTTTTTTAATTCTGCATGGCTTGAAAAGAAGTATTTCATTTCAGAAGACTGAAAGATGGGAAGTTCCCTATTTATGTCAGCCATTTTACAGTCATACCTTTCTCCACACCTAGGAGAGCCTTTTTTAAAGGCTGGAAAACGGGGGCAGGAGGGCCTGTTTCTTTGCTCCATCTACAGCACTAATTCTAAACATCAGAGGTAGTTATAAATACAGGGATAGTGGCAAAATCATACAGCAAGTCATGCCTGCCAAGCCATCATTCATCATAATGACATCATCACCCTGGAATGGAACAAAGTTTAAAGCTTTCATTTTTCTTTTTCTCTTTCTCCTGTCGTTGTCGTATAAAAAGAGCATTGGACACATCTGCTTCATAGCCCCAACTCCCCCACTGCCCGCAAGGAGAATGAATGCCTTTAAGGAAAGGACTGTTAAGGAGAAGTAAAAAAAGAAGAGAGATGAAGCTGAAGTTGCAAAAGGTTATTTGAAATCCAAGCACATTGTTGAATCTGTTGATTGAAAAAGCAAAAGCAGGTGAAAAATGTGCTTAAATTTAATCTCCAGCAGTTATCACTAGCATACACTCTGAAAGGCTCGGCTGAACGAGTTTTTCCACTGCCACAGGATGGCATTCATAAGTAATCTTCATTGTCCTATTAACTGCATTTATTTCCTCTGAATAGGATAGTTTCATACCTTCTTGTAGAACTGAGAGATTATATTCAGCTCCCTTACACCAGGACATAACTAGACATAACTGGATGAAATAAATTACAATCAACAGATTTATTCTGGTGTAAAATTGAGCAGAAACGACAGCTTGCCCTCTCATCTGAGTTTACCTGCCTCGTTCTCATCAATCTGCCTTTAGCTCTGGGGAACTGGTAAATATTGTTGAAATGAAAGATGGCCAGAGAACAGGTGTCAATTTTCTCTGGAGGAAGAAAGGTCTGACTAACTTGTACTTTTGCATACAACTTATCATTTCTGTCTAAGGTTAGAGTAGATGCTGCTTACCACAGAGCCCAGTTGTGCGGCAAGTTTGTCCGAGATGCCTCCTGGATAGTTTTTGGCAGAAGAGTCCAGGAACTCATTGACAGATGAAGACCGAGAAGTTCCAGTAATTACTCCACCTGGTGACAATCTTTGCTCTTGTAAGAGCCGTATTCTTGAACCTAGTATGGAAAAGACGCTTCTCAACGAAGATATTCTGAACACCACTTTGCTTACAGCAAACAAAAAGAAACTAGTAATTTGCAACTATCATCAGCTGGCTTTTGGCACAATTCTGGATGCGCAAAAGATAGCTGCGAAACTTACAAAGCATATAAACTACGCAGTTCCCAAAAAGCTTTTAAACCTTCCAAGTACTTCACAGATATAACAATGTTATCCCCCCTGAATAGTTAGGCAAATGAAAGTTATGAAAAATCTAAAAAAAACACCCCTACGTTAATGGACTAGGAAGAGGTGTTTAACCGTGTATAAATGAGCTCATTTTGTTATGGATGTTCTGATATGCACCACCGTTATGACCTCTAAGCTAATTATAGTCTACCTACTTAGAAGTTTTAACCTTCTCAGAGCTCTTTGAATGTGATGGGGAGTTGGAGTGGGACACCTTTTCTTCTGTTATTTATCTGAATTTCTGTGAACAGAAATCCAAAGACTTGCACCACTGCTGTATTGCAAGGAATCAAACATGACTGTAAGCCAGAAAGCTGAAGACACAACTAACCTGCTCTTTCCAAAAACATTTTATTCAAATTTGAAAAATCTGTAAACTGGGATTTATCCTGTCTATAAAATGGTATCTAAATATGAAATTAAGTCACAGAAAAATTCTTATAAATATTGGTACATGGCAGTCTGCAGAAATCCAATCATAAGAAAGGTTTAATTGTATTGTGTGTCATATCAAAGCACAAGAGCTCACAGCCTAAGAAGTCACATACAAAGGTAGTGGATGAAAGGCAAAGAAACATCCCATCCATACACGTGTTCATATTCTAAATATGGTTATTTTTCTTAGTATATGCCTTTATTAAAAAGTTTCAACAGTCATCAGATGACTCTCAGCATAGCCATTATATACTGCTTGTTTGTAGCTGCCAGAAGATGTGGTGTTAAGAACACAGGAGATGAGACTTGAGATTGGTGGGTTCTGTTTCAGGCACAGTAAACTACTCACTTGGACACTGAGTAAGTACAGAGCCTAACCTTCAGAGGTGCAGAGCTTCACACTGCCAAAACTTCAGTGGGATTTCTGGTGCCCACGATCACAAATAATCAGTCTTTGACATAAATGTCCCTTTCCTCATTTGTAAAATACAAATAGTAACACATACTCCACAGGACTGCTGTGAGATATAATTAATAGTTGTAAAGTACTGAGTTCCGTGGATGAAAGCTGCTAATGCAAGTACAAAGCATTATCAGCTCTGAAATGTATTATACTTCTGCTATAAAAAGTTTTTAAAAAGAAGAACTTATCTATTTTCTCCCAATATTTTTACTCTATACATGAGCAAAAGATCTTGCACAGCAGTTCATTAAAAAAAGAATTAACAACCTATCATAATCTCACACAACCAATCTTCCCCCTGCTACTATCTTACTAAAAATGTCCACATTAAAGACAACCTTGGGGCAAGTTTTTTAAATTATTTCACACAGTCTATAAGAAGGCCTGATCTCTAGAAATAGGACAGTTAAATTTATTTAAACACCTATAAAAGAAGCTCTAAATGAATTTAATGGTGCATAGTAAATTTAAAAGTTACTTTATGGACAGCAGAATTACCAAAATCTAGTACTATTAATGAAGTTTCTGTAACTAGTGACAAGTCACTCACTGAAAGAACTCAGAACTGCTGAGGAATACAAACAAAGTCCTTTAAAGGAACTTCAGATACATACGTATATATCTTCAAAAATACCATGATTATATAAAAATCTTTTATCCTTAATCCTCCCCCTTTTTCTTCTTTCCTGATAATCTAGTTAGGGTTTGGTGGGTTTTGTTGCCTCTCAGACAAAACGTCTCCAGTGTTTTTAAGACAAATAAGTTACAATATTATACTAAATAAGGCAAGGAAGTCTTCTTTCTCACTTCAAACAAACATGGAAGCTCTGGAAATGAAAATAAAATCTACATAGTTTAAGATTAAATAAGATTCTTCAGAAAGGTCCCCACTGCTGTAGCACTGAGATGCCACAATATGTGTAGAAGCTTGTTTCTTGTCCACTGGGAAATCAGTATTTATTAATTCTTTCAGCATACAAAATTACTTGAAATGATGAACTGATGAATTTTACACTATCCTTCATTAACATTTCAGATATTTTTGCCCTCCCTTCAGCTACTTTTATTTGCAGCCTTCTGAGCCACACAGAAGGTCATGAATATTGGCTCTGTGTTACTTAGGAAACTCTAAATATGCAATGGATCTAACCAAGAAAGCCATAAACCATGGAGGCTCTTGGAGTTAGAGGAAAGAGTTCACATAAATGAGCTTCTTGTTAGTCCATGTTGTGCAAGATCTTACTACCATAATGTCTGTTTCTTATGTCTTTTTCTCCAGTATTTTAGAGATCATATTCTGCTTTCATCCCAGCTGGTAACCTGCCATGTCTGGAATAAACTCAAGGGTTACAGCTGAGTTCTCAAAATATGTTAAGCTAATCTTAGTTAGGCTGCCTCTGACAAGTCATCCTCCTCTCTTCCTCCAGAGGCAGCCATGAAGCTCTTCTCCCCTACTCTTCCCTCCTTGAGCCAATTCTGTAGCTGCATGACGAGTTTGATCAAGGAATCGATCTGCCTGAAAGTTGGTGGGTTTTTTTCCTAGGTTAGTTTTTGGATGGAACCATTCCCTGATCCAGATTAGAAATGACTCCACAATCAGAAGAATGAGAGCAACAAGCAGGCTAGAAATGCATTGCAGGAGAGGTAAGTTGGGCATGACCACTTTTTGCAGCACCAGCACTTGGATTAGCTGGAAGTGATCATGAGGCTCCAGCCTTAGTCATTCAAGGGCTAAAAGGCTTCTGTTAAACACACTACCAATCATTTGGGTTTACCCCACAGTGGGTCACCCCAAAAGCACTTGGAGTGAAGTTATAAGTTGCCTTCACTCATCTTGACAGCTGGCTGAACATGAGCCGGCAGGGTGCCCAGGTGGCCAAGAAGGCCAACGCCATCCTGGCCTGTATCAGAACTAGTGTGGCCAGCAGGAGGAGGGAGGGGATCGTGCCCCTGTACTCGGCCCTGGTGCGGCCGCACCTCGAATCCTGTGTTCAGTTTTGGGCCCCTCACGACAAGAAGGACATTGAGGTGCTGGAGCGTGTCCAGAGAAGGGCAACGAAGCTGGTGAAGGGCCTGGAGCACAAGTCTGATGAGGAGCGGCTGAGGGAACTGGGGCTGTTTAGCCTGGAGAAGAGAAGGCTGAGGGGAGACCTCATCGCGCTCTACAACTCCCTGAAAGGAGGTTGTAGCGAGGTGGGGGTTGGTCTCTTCTCCCAAGTAACAAGCGATAGGACGAGAGGAAATGGCCTCAAGTTGCGCCAGGGGAGGTTTAGACTGGACATTAGGAAAAATGTCTTTACTGAAAGAGTGGTCAGGCCTTGGAACAGGCTGCCCAGGGAAGTGGTGGAGTCACCATCCCTGGAAGTATTTAAAAGATGTGTAGATGCGGCATTTAGGAACATGGTTTAGTGGGCATGGTGGTGTTGGGTTGACGGTTGGACTTGATGATCTTAGAGGTCTTTTCCAACCTTAATGATTCTATGATTCTATCTTTCTATTCTGGTTTTCATATACCTCTTCATGCTTCTGGCTATCCTGGGGAAGAGGGTAAAGTAAGGTCTCAGGGCCATGACATTTTCTTGTTGCTCAACAGTTTGATAGGCACAAAGCTCTCAGCCACGGACACATATCTCACTTGTGATTCATCTGGAATTAATGGGAGATCCTCAGCCCAAAACCATCCTCAGAAGAGTCAGGCAACTCACTTTCTGCATATTATTGCCTCAGGGCACACAGTGATGTAAAGTACCTGGAAAGATCTCCATTAAAGATTCAGATCCCAGGGAGGAATCAGCCCAGGAGACCCATTACAGAGAAGCATGTGGAGTTTTCAGAGATAAGCAGTCTCACAGGTTGCATCATTCACAGATTTCAATTTGTGAAACAAATAAGTAGGAATACTCTACTGATAAAAACAGCAGTAGCATGTGCCCAGACACAGTACCTGCTCCTGCTCTGCTATTCAAGTCCTGAGTGCTATCAAAAACTGCAGGTGGCTCCAAACCCAGGTATGACTTTACGAGGAAACTCAGCTCTGTGAATGCCTCATCCAATTCATCTGCAGAAAGGGATATGCATTTCATGATGGAGAGAAATGATACATAATGAAAAAAACAAGCTTTGACCAGTATGAAGTTACAAATCAGAGAAGTTTGACATAGAAATGCATTCTTAACTCATCCAGCTTATCTCTTTGGGAGAAAAATCTTCATCTTCATAAATAGCACATTCAAGAAAATAATCTGAAATTCATCTCAGTTTCTGCACTCACCTAAATATTCTCCTTCTGCAATTACTGTGTTTTATTTCTTTAATGCTGTATTTAAATTGCAAGCTCCATATGCCCTTGACAATAACTACAAATACAATATTTCATACCACTGATATATTTCACCATCACTGTGGTGAACCACAAAAATCACCTCCACAAAAGGGCAGACACAGAACAAACTAGAAAAGGATTCTTCTCTATCACCTACTATCCTCAATTCCTAAATATCAAGAAGCAAATATTTGTTTTAATGAAATACCTACCACCCTCACATTCCTTGTTTCAGGCTGGGGAACTTGAGCAAGTTACTAAGCCTAAGAGTTCTACAAGGAAAAGCTTTGCAGCAGCCTCTTCTTCACAGTGAGACATTGCTAGACTGCACATCAGCTGTCATTTCAACACTTGAAAGAAGCCTATCCTACCCAGAGATAATTAGGTCTGTTAGATCAAAAGCACTTCTGAACTCTGCCCAGAAACCAACAGACAATTAGCACAGATCAGTTTAATATTCTCATAGGAGAAATGTGCTGCTGAGTTCAATAGTTGGTTTGCTTTCTAGATGGGCTTAAAGCACAACTTGGACATAGCAGAGTAATTCAGTCCTGACAGACCTCCAGAGCTTTTAGATTCCTGGGACAAGAATTAACTGGGAAAATCAATTAAGGCATAGTTTAAACTGTTATGCTGAACATCAAACCATTTGTCATACTTAGTTTAGTATTTGCCAGTAGCTTTGTCTGCATAGCAGTTTCAGTCCATCTATTCGTGTGACATTAGAAGTCAGATTTATAGTATGAAAAAGATTAACTTACCTGTGTTGACTACTGCATCAAAGTACCCTGGAAAATCCTGACTTATTTTGATGTACATGTCCACTCTGGAGACTGCCTCTTCAATCTCTGGCCTGCTGAATAATCCTTTCCTCCGCAGATGTCCTTCATATTTTTCTTTGTTCATTGGTACTAACAGGATATATCTGGGTTTAAAGTACGTATTTTTCAAGCTACGCACACCCTGTAAAATTAAGCAGAGAAATGCAATGTTTTGTAACTGAAACTAAGTGCCTATTGAAGTTGTAGCTGAGTTTAGGACAACTCTGTATTTATCACAAATTATTGTGAAAGCAGTACTGGAAACCTGTATCCAATCTACAGGTCTCAAGATCTAGCATCCAACATTACAAAATAGGCAAGTTCAAGGTGAAGTGCCCTAAAGCTACATGTGGAAAGTGTTCTAGTAGTATAACTTTATTCTAAACACACTTGTGAAAGAATCCTTTTAGTCAAATTCCACAGGGATTTAAAGCATCATACTTCTCATACCCACCAGTTAACGACGTTTCCTTCTTTTCCATCCTTTCTATTACATCAGGACCTTGTTATTCTAAATGTGCATATCACTGACTCACACTCTTGTACTAACACACAGCACAACTTATCTGCATCACCGCCTTGGCCCTTAGCTTTCCACTATGAACAAACTGACAATTTTCTCCTCAGCTGGTATATTTTTCTAAGTGAAAGTGTGCAACTTCATTGAGATACAGCCATATTTATTTTGCTGGAGCAGTTACCCCCTCCCAAAAGTGGGTATAACCACACTCCCCAGCAGAGATACGATGTGCACATTCTTCATCTGTTACACTGTAGTCAGCCATCTTAATTGAACCATTTTTATCAGCAATAAACTATCTTGAATAGGACTTTTAGTATAGCAGGCTAGGAAACATTTACATGTGCCTTGCATCAACTCTGCTGTAAGGACAACGGCTCTGGTTGGCACCACAGCTTAGGACTGCAAACACCTATAATCATTTCAGCTAGATCTGAAAAAGGAGACCTGTCTGCATGCTAGGACTTAAAGACAAGGTCTTATTAAATGCTGCAGGTAATGGTACCAATCCTGAATTTCCAATAGCTCTCCTTTGCACCAATTCATACTTTGAAGAATCTTTTCTCTCTCCCTCTCACCCTATCTACATATAAATCAGAATATTGTAACCATGTAGCCCTGCCATATGGTGTTGCCATTGCCATAAGATTTTTACTGAGTTTTCAAGACCTGAGGACTGAGGCTTGTCCTGCTCGCTCTGAACTTTTCTTGACTTGGCTGTAACTTTGTTTTAATTGGTTCAGCTGTGACAGCAATTTCTCTTGTTGACCAGGTGTCTATATGTAATTGTTTTACTTTTGTTTATCTTTGTGTGGTACAACCATAGTTTTATATGGATAACAGTAACAAGCAGTTGTCCAGGTAAAATGAGATGTTTACGACCCGACATAATAACAGTGTAGACAAATACAGGCCTGGCATGATAGCAAAGACCTTGAGAGGTGAAAACACAGGACACAATGTAGAGGACTACAGGCATGGTGTGGTAAGAGATGGGGCACAGTCTTCACACTAGACACCTCACAACTATAAATTTCTCAATAATGGTCAGTTGAAAAACGAAGCTCTGGAGCTGGACAAAGCTGGTTTTAAGGGCAACAAGAAGAACTAGCATCTAACATACATAAAGGGCACAATATATAATGAATTCTTGTATCAGAAATAGTGTGGCCAGCAGGAGTAGGGAGGTGATCGTGCCCCTGTACTCGGCCCTGGTGAGGCCGCACCTCGAATCCTGTGTTCAGTTTTGGGCCCCTCACGACAAGAAGGACATTGAGGTGCTGGAGCGTGTCCAGAGAAGGGCAACGAAGCTGGTGAAGAGTCTGGAGCACAAGTCTGATGAGGAGCAGCTGAGGGAACTGGGACTGTTTAGCCTGGAGAAGAGGAGGCTGAGGGGAGACCTCATTGCGCTCTACAACTACCTGGAAGGAGGTTGTAGCGAGGTGGGGGTTGGTCTCTTCTCCCAAGTAACAAGCGATAGGACGAGAGGAAATGGCCTCAAGTTGCGCCAAGGGAGGTTTAGATTGGACATTAGGAAAAATTTCTTCACCAAAAGAGTTGTCAAGCACCGGAATAGGCTGCCCAGGGAAGTGGTTGAGTCACCATCCCTGGAGGTATTTAAAAGACGTGGTGCTTAGGGACATGATTTAATGGTGGACTTGGCAGTGTTAGGTTAGCGGTTGGACTCAATGATCTTAAAGGTCTTTTCCAACCTAAACAATTCTAGGAATTCATATGTAACCTGGAGCTGCAGACCAAGGAAGAAAGAGAAATTTGTAAACGTGTTAGGAAACATATACAAATGACCCCAAGAGGATCCTAGGAGGAGAAAGAAGAAACTATCAACATGAATATCCTCCCAGAAAAGGGCTCAGATGTTGACAACTTGCTGTAACATCCCCCTCCAATGACAACACCAGAGGGAAACCACTAATCTTAGAACCCAATGAAGCAGTGAAAGGGTGAGCATAACAGCAGCAAAACAGATAGCATGTGTTACAATTTTAATTGTATTATTATAATTATTATTGGGAATTTTTCAGTATATGAGTACTCTAAATGCATTATTATTCTTCCTTTTTCTGTAATAATTAGACCTAGACTAATGATGATTCTTAAATTAGACAGTTAAAATTTCCATCATACTAACAACAAATTCTTGGCTTTACTTCTATATATATGATCATATATACATATATGATCATGTATATAAAAATGATCATTTTGGGTGTTTAATGATCATTGTGAAAAAAACCCAAAACAAAACAGGCCAACAACCATTGTAGTGTCTGGTGATGAACAAATTATCCAAAGTTAAGTGAAACCATGCACTGTAGTAAACGTAGGGAAGCTTATTTCATTTTCATTGAGGCATGATACACCTTCTTCACTGAAGTGGGTAGGAACAGAGAGGGACTAATATGTCAAATCTGAGCACTGTTCGTTACTTCATCAGAACTGTCATATCCTTAAAGGTGGGGTTCTCCAGAATAATTTTAAAATATAGTCAAATACAAGCAAAGTCATGCAAAAACCAATAATAGGCTGAACACTTACTAGATTTTTTTCCTAGTTGCAATGTTCTAAGTATGGAACAGTACTTCAATCCATTCTGAAAAATTCAGGAAGTGATTCTGGGGAAAATCCTATTCATTTTGGTGAAAACTAAAGGGGAGAATTTGGGGCACAGAAATCTTTGCATCCAGCTAGGTGACCACCTACTTTCAGCTAGGCCTGCAATTACCCAGAAATTGGAAAACCAGCAGAAAGCAGACCCACATTCCAGCCTAGTAACACCCTCCTCATCTGAAGTTGCACCATGAATGAGTTCTCTTTCTGATCAAGAAATAACGTAACAAATGATTCATATGTCCCAGAACTATGTAGGAATAGGAAGGCAGCCCATCAATAGTCTGGAATGAGCGGGGAGGAGAAAAAAGGAAGAGATACAGAAAGCTTCTGGTGTGCCCAATAGATTTGTTATACAGAGACAATAGGATGAGTGACTGTCTAATACGAAATAAAGAGAGATTAAGGAAAGTGGCCTTAAAATAAAGAATGGAAGAATACAGGAGCTGACAGTTTGAAACCAAAGAGATATTTGGAAAATAAAAAAAGGAGTAAAATTTGAGTTTCCTGAATTTGCATATGAGGTCAAGAAAGATCGAAGGATTACCTGAGTTGAAGATGTCCATTCATTTAACATAGCTAAAGCACCTCAATTTTTTGAGTTAACAGCATGGAGTTATAGAAAAGATGTGACTAGTATTATATCCTACTTCCTTTGACTCCCCAGCCTGAATGACTGGATAACCACCACCAAGTGCCATAGCGAGTGGTCTTTGGCAGGAGACAAAGTGTACTTATATTTCTGGAAGCATAATGAGACCCATTAGCCACTCTGCCACTACACCCTTGGTTGGAACTTGCAGATCATTCAACTGCTCTGCAGGTATTAGGGGCTACACAAGCAAAGGGAAAGCACTGCAAACGCGCTTACTGCAACACAAAACTGTGTGTCAGAATCACGGCAGCTTCACTAACTGGAAGTGTAGACTCAGCAAGATTTAACTTTCAAAATTTGTGTCAGTCTCCTTTATCAGTGAAAGATATACTCTAGATTAAAGGGAATGAACAGCTCTAAATTTTTAGTGTCAGCCCACAGACCGTAATTAAAATTTCTTTTAATAGTGCTAAATCACTTTTGTTATGAGCCTCGCAGAAGATAATGGACTTCGATAACTTCTATTCAGATACATAACTCACCATTATTGTTTCTCATCTGCTAGCAGAGTCCACAGTGATACAAGACTATGCATAATTACTATGTGATCTTGAAACTTCAGTGACAAAGGAGTTCCTTAGCTGTCTGTCCATAACAGTAGCTTTGGTAATACCCAGTAAAAGTTATGGTCACTGCCTGTGTTGCTGGGTTAACCTCCTTATGAATAAACATGATGTTCCATTAAGTTCTTTCTCCTAAATTATTTGATAACACATCTACTTTGTGAAGAATTAACAGCTTTAAAAGGCACCCCACTCCATCATGTTTAATCTTCTCCTACTTTTCTTCCTTTGTAAATTTAAGGTCTGTCTGGCAAGACAACAAACACATTCAATTCCTATTGCAATCAGTGGACACTAAGAGTGATTCACAGTTCTCACAAGACTGAGGAAAAAGAGGAAATGAAACTACACAGAGATTAAGTTACTAATTTGCTGTTTAATATCAGTCAAGTAACAGGCACTTAAGAGCAGGATTGCAGCATTAAATTGTGGAAGTATTAAATTTGAGCAAGGAGCTACTAATTTTTTAGCACTGACATGCTGCTATTCTGTTATTTGTACGCTTATATGCAAGCCAGTAAATGTGTACAGATTTATTTGGGCCAAAGGGGACTAAAACTCCTTATGAACACTAAGGTTCTTAACTGAAAACTAGTTTTTCGATCATCAGTTTCACAAACAAAATAATAATCCTAAAATTAATTAAATTTAGTATCAATTTTTGCTCAAGTCTCCCTAGTCATTCCCCTAACTCTGGATGCACAACTTAGGATCCTATGTTAGCACTGCAGTCTCCTACATTTCTTTTTTATATCTATTTTTTCCCCCCCATCTATCATGGAGTGTAGTAGTGTCTGTTAACTTGTAGTAATCCCCCAGAGGTATAGCTTAGCCCTACAAATACAGCAACACTTAGTATCACAATTTGGGCATCTGTAGAGTCTCTCATTTTGGAAGCTCGTATAGATGGAGCTTATTTTGTGGAAAGAATTTGGAAGGAAATGTAGCATGCCTTTCCTTTTTGTCACTGCAACCCCTAGCTAGTAAATCTTGATCTAAGATAATGAGAAGTCCATAATTAGAAAATTAGCTAAAAAGTTATTCTTTTGGGATTCCAACAGATAGGTTTTGACACTTTGTTTGTGACCTAGTTTCTTAACGCAGCACGACTTCTGAGATTCTGCCATCTGTGCATGTGCACCTGACAAATCTCAGAGAGGGTACAATAATCCCTCAAAGAGATTGCATTTTTTAATAGTTCTGCCCAAAATATTGCCTCAGGCCTGCATGCATTCTCCATTGCTTCATCAGCAAAGGAGAAGCATGGCATTCTTTTAGGGGTGATCAGTAGGTGTGCAGCTCTAGACTAGTCCCACTATAAGCTGCAGATGGGTGGAAAGCACATGGTTGAAAAGCTGAGGATACTGTAATGGAAAGTACTGGTGATGTGGTGGGGAGATGAGGCTGCTGAAGATTGAAAAAATAGGCCAGGAAATTTTAAGAAGCCAGCAGAAGGATCTATCTGACTATATGTGGGTGTCTACAAAGGGAGTGGTGTGGTTTATGTATAGACAACAGAGAGCTACTTGATACAGGCAGTAGAGTTAAAAACACAGTTCATTTGACCAAATAACTACATCTCCAGTGACCGTAATGCAGCCCACACGCCCAGTTCAAATGTATCAGCAGCAGCTGTAGGCTGGGCAGAAGGCCATAGGATGTCTCTTTTGTCACTAAGTGGCTATGTCTAGGCAGCTGAACCAAACCTTAGTCAAACTGCATGAATTCCTCCCCAGGACAGTTCTCACAGAATGACTCATTCAAAAATGATTAGGCAATAAGTAATCCTTACCTCTATTTCTAAGTGAACACAGGTTGCAAGACCCTCTCTGGCAATTGATTCTACAGTGTCTCTTCCAAGTCCGTAGTAATAGCCACTGTATTTAAAGGTTGCTATAAACTTCCCCTGAAATTCGAAAGAGCAAGTATAATGACAAAGGAAATATTCTAAGGGAAACAACTTTCTTAAAGGAGCACAATCACTCTGGACTTCCTTGCTTTCTCTCCTACAAAGTTTCTCCCTGCCTAAATTATCAATGATAATGAGGCCAATGGGAGCACAAAATTTGCAGAGAAAAGGACATAGCCAGTCCTGCAGGGTATGGGCTTGTACATAGTTCGTGGATAATAAACACCAGTGTCTTGAAAACAAGCTGCTGACAGGTTACAGCTTTCATTGGCTATTCATTCACACTGTAAAGAAAGCAAGATCTAAAGCAAGGGGCATCCTTCTTTTGACATTACATCAAACCATATGGCCATGCCATATAAAATAGAATATGTCAAAGAAAAGAGAGGACAGAAACAAATCTGCAAGGAGAATGTATAATTGGTCAAGAAATTTCAAAGTTAAAACCTGACAACTGAAACTTTGGTTCCCAGTAGTATGTCTAGAGAGATGTAAACAGATTATATTCTTTTAAAATTAAACTACTTGATTACTGAGAGTTATCATTAAGGACCAGAGCAGTTACTTAAGACTGTGTTGGCTCCCCTGTTTGTGTATGTACAAATAATGAGCTTTGTTGTGGCTTTTTATGCCAAAGTTTTATTGCAGGTAGCAAAAGGCATCAGAAACAGTAGCTGGAGGCACACTGCCTTCAGAGAGAAACACAATGTCTTTAGGGTGAATTTGCTAAACTTTAAAAGACTGCATTCCCTGCAGGTTTCTGGAAGACTTTGAAAAAAGAAAAAAAAAAGAAAAAAAAATAGATGGCAGCTATTTCAAGAGTTTTTCTTTACTACACACACAGTAGATATTTGCATATGGAAATAAGTTTATTTCTACATTATACTACTGTTTAAAGATT